CATAAGCCCTTACACAGCTACGTGAGTTTGAGTAGAGTGCCTTGATTAGTGCAATGTACTTTCTTGGCACTCCCTTCATAGTCAAACATTGCCATAGAACCTCTCGATCCACGGAGTCGAAGGCCGCTTTCAAGTCAAGAAATATGGCAATTGTTGGACGCCTAAAAGTGTGTCTGTTCTAGGATCTGTCGGAGAGTGAAGATATGATCTGTGCACCCTCTACCTGACCTAAAGCCAGTTTGATTTTCCCTCGTTTGGTCCTCCCGAGTTTGGCTTAGTCTGTGCATGATTACTGAGCCTAGGATTTTAGAGACTATGTTCGTTAGGCTGATTCCTCTATAATTATCACATGAGGACTTGTCTGCCTTCTTGAATACTGGTATGATAAGTGACTTACCCCAGTCTGATGGAACCGTCTCCGATTCCCAGATGTTACCTAGTACCTTAGTTAAACTATATACTAGCATGTCACCCCCATATTTAAACACCTCACGAGTAATTCCGTCGGGTCCTGCCGCTTTGCCTCGTTTCAAATTACAGATAGCTTTGGTGACCTCACTTACAGACGGCGGGCCAGTGTTTGTATCCCATTCGGGTGTGTGCTGGATGGCGGGAAGGCTCAGTGTGGCTGTAGGCAAGTTAAATTGTTCCTCAGAGTGTTCTTTCCAGCGTTCAAGGCGTCTATCCTGAGAGCTAATTAATGAGCCATTTTTCTCAGAAATAGTCTCACTTATGATTTGCCTTCTCCCACCCGTTTCCCTGATGAGTCTAAAGAGTTGCCTAGTGTTGCCTATCGCCGATGCTTTTTCCATCTCTTTCGCCTTTGTCACCCACCACTGTGTCACGGTCCTTGCGGAGACTTTTCGTAAGTTTCCTTTTGTGCAGCTTTCGCTCCTCACTGAATTCGGAGCTCGCCGGAATAAGTCTTCTAGCATCTATCATTTCGGATGAGGCAGTCGAAATCCAATGGTTTTTACTCACCTTTGGGTTTACCTTATTCACAGCTTTTACAGCTGTATCTATAGCTGATTGAATATTTTTCCAGGCTTCTTCAGGATGAGCGCAGCTGTCAAACTCAGATATGTGTTTAGCTAGTTCCTCCTCAAATAGGGACTTAGTTTCCTGATCGAGCTGGGGACGTGATGGATTTACCGCCAGCTGTTTCCTACGTCCGTTCAGTCGTAAGCACACGCGAGCGCGGACCAGTGCGTGATCGGTATCTACACACGTGTTCCAGAAGGACCGACAATCCCCTACCGACCCACGCCAACGATAGCTTATTGCTATGTGGTCTATTTGTGTCCAGCGTTGGTTTGATGATGGAGGTCGCCAGGTCAAACAGTGTCTCTCCTTGTGTTTGAAGTTAGTGCTTACAAGAAACAAGTGATTATCTGAACAGAACTGTAGGAGACGGTCACCGTTGTCGGTTCGCTGGCACGGAATTCCGTATGTGCCACCGACATTCTTCTCAGATTGACACAATTTCCCCACTTGAGCGTTAAAGTCACCAGCTAAAACCACTATATCTGAGCGTTTAGCCTTTCGCAGCAAACTAGAAAGCTTTTGGTAGAACTCATCCTTCGTTTCATCCGAACTGCAGTCAGTGGGGGCGTAGGCGGAGATTACGAAAAGGCATCGGCGAGTAGTGCAGTCCTTACTCCTTTTCACTGATCCGTTCAGACGGACAGCACACATTCGGCTATCTACCGGGATCCAGTCAAGTAATGTCTTTTCAGCCCTAGTACTCAACGTTATCCCAACACCAGCTAATCCTCGTGAGCTAGCCGTCTCATCTCCTGACACCCTCAAGGTGAATTTTGCAGATTCATCCTGTTGGCCAGGTGGGGTTAGGTGAATAACCACACTTGGGTCCTGTATGCGTGTTTCTGAAACACAACATACATCAATGGCTCGGGATGCCAGAGTCTTGGCTAGTGATGCCTGTTGTCCTATTTGGCAAAGTGTCCTAACATTAAGTGCCCCTATATGAAATTGGTGACGTGGCTTTAGGAGACTATCGATGGTGGCTTTTTGGCTTCCGTCGTTTTCAGTGCACACAGAGTGAAGAGGAAGTGAAGAGCCATTAAGTAGAGGAGTTGCATTAGTAGAAGGAAGGTAAGATAATAGAGATGAAGATGAAGACAAAGGTGAGTGAGGAATAGAGAGGTTTCGCGTGCTCTTCGGGTTGTGAGGGCGATTGTTACTTCCCGGCTGCCCACACCGTGGAAGTTGGTTGCGTGACCGCAGAGCCCAGGGGACAACTGCTTGAGGCCGGTCACACACGGCCTGTTTTTGTTTGTTGTTTTTTATTTGGTGTGTCTCAGTAGCGTATTTATCACTTCTGCCCTGTGACACGGAGGCAGAAAGCGCGGTCGTTGTTAATCCGGGCCCCGACCGATCCGGCATGATATTTTGTGATTTGTTTGAAGTCATAGGATTGGATTGGGTAACTGCTTTTAGTCTAACCGCTATCCGAACAACCTTACTGGCATGGTAGGACCTGCAGGAACATAAGTTCCAGCCAGTATAGCTTGTTGGGTCATTGCGGTGTTCAAGCCCGACCACCACGTCAAGGTAGCAGCTTTCGGTCGGGACTATTATCTACACTGGCAAACAATCTCAGGCATCTTCAAGTGTGAAAATGAATCCAAATGCAGCATAGTGTTAACAGTGTTCTACATTGAGCTTGATATACTGCTTGAGATAACTATATAACTATTTTGGCAATCGATCTGCCTCAAATAGACTATTTTTTATAAATTTCTATGCTTGCGGATATTTCAGTTTTTGAAAGTTACTGAAACGGTTACGAAAGACTTCAAAGGACTCCCTCATAAACCATGGACAGCTGAACTATTTCTGGTAAGTAGTCATTTTCCGCTGATCTTTAATTTAACTAGACTGTCCATTTGTTCTTTCTAGACTTGCTACAATTTTTTCTGAATTTAATTGATAATTATCGTGTATTAAACAAGTTTAAAATACATAGAGAAAGGAAAAGGAGGCAGTGACTGAGAAAAGCCGCTATATGTACATACTTTTAGTAGGTAGGTCTTTTGTATTAATTGATTTCGGAACTTGATGCTCAGAAACACAATCAGAAAAATGTATGATGATTTCGATAGATTTTGAGACAAATTATTATGCTGCATCATTTAGTCAATGTCTTAAAAGAAAATCTAATATTCCGGTGAATATATATATATATATTCTGCATCTTTCCATGACAGTATTAGCTAACAAATTATAAAAACACAATCACGTCATTAGTTCTTGTTAATGCTTATACACGCTGATAACAGATTTATTTTGAAATTGCCTAATTGAATACACTTCACGCATACACTTTATGTTAACAAACATTAGTGAATATGATTTATTAGACTTAACGTAACTGTCTGTCTGGATTTAACATAGAACTTGGCACCAAAGTGCAGCAGTTCGAGTTGCCACGTTCCAAATAGCACACAAAGGTGGACAAGAAAATGAGTGAAGAGAATCAATAGAGTTTTGACAAGTATAAGAGTGAAACAGAATGAGTAATGGTAGAAAGGAATATGAAGGTTAAAGAGACTGAATACATCTGCGTAAGCCATTGACAACGATTTTGAGCCATGTCACCTAGTGTCTCCAGCCATTGATTCTTAGAGTCCCGAGGGCCCCAACCCAGAAGTCTGCATCTCCCTACCTGACTCAGTTTAACTGTCAAGGATTTCATGGATTGATGCCAAGTTTTTGTTTGGCCACCACTTACTCTTTTCCAACCTGCACCTATATCAGCTAGTAATGCCCATCGGGGGAGGCGATGGTTAGGCATGCGCAGCACGTGAACTAGCCATCTCAATCTATGTAACTTTATAGCCTCGTCGATTGATTTTCCCTCTTTGCCCAACACTCTACGCCTAACGTCAACATTACTTACCTTATTATGCCACCTAACGTGAGAAAGAGATCGTAAACATCTGTGGTCAAAAACAGACAACCTTTTCATGTCTTCAACTCGTATTGGCCATGTTTCAGAGCCATAGACAAGGACGGAACGAACTGATGAGCAGTATACCCGTCCCTTGGTTGATAGCCGGATGTCACACCTACGCCAGAGATGGTGTAAGTTAGCGAAAGCAGCCCTAGCTTTCTGGATCCGTGCTGTGATTTCGTCACCAATCAATCAATCCGTTGGTGCTGATACAACTTCCTAAATAGGTGAAGTGATCAACATGTTCTATCACTTCACTCCCTATCACTAAGCTTGGAGTTGACGTAGTCTAGTCCTGTAGCAGCATCTTACATTTTACAGGGGTGAATCGCATGCCAAACATACGAAGATTGCTGCTCAAGGTGTTCAGAAGACTCTGCACTTAACGTAACAAAAATATACGGCCTCCTACTCAATTTTAAATAGTTACACAACTGGTAAAAAGACAGTAGACAACATAGTGAATAATATATACTACATGAACACAATTATTTCACTCATGACAAAATCATAGTGACTATATAGGACAGTGAAACAGATTTTGGGGGATGCAACTGAGAAGTGAGACTGTGATTTAGTCAAACAACTTGACGACAGAATAATGGAACGAAACTTATTAGCAAAGATTCGAATGATTAGTTTTGTGTATAATGTACGCGTTCTATGCGCATGGGTATATTTTCAGGTAACATAAATCATATTTTAAGCCATTCATAGTGTCAGTTCCCAGGAGGTAGAGTTTAGCAAAAAAAACAGCACCAACATTGTGGGTATACAGAACAAACACATCACAAAAGTACAAAAAATGTGAGACGTGTGAATTCAAATAGACAGTGTGTTTTAAATAAGGAATGACTGAGAATGATTGATTTCCCCACGAAGATCACTTTCCATTGGTTAGGTATTACTCTCTCAAAATGAAATAAAACCGCTGCAATAATTTGGATCAGTCATACAAGTTACAGTAAATATTTACAACTTTTAATCAAACAAAATGTAGGCAGTTTGACTACACACAGCTTACCAAAATCCATATTATAAATAGTATAAGTTATAAGTATGTCTGAGAGGCGCGTCAAATTCCCGCGATTATCATCACTATAGAAATCAGTTTTACGGTCGGTTCGTGGGACATCCTTATCTAAAGAGAAAAAAATTTTGAAGGATAACAACTACATGACAATAATTTCTTTCTGGTTAACGAATCTTGAATACACTGATGTTGACCTGCGTACACGGTCAGTTTACCTAAGTTTGAATGTCAAGTGAAGTAGTTTAATACTCGGTAGGGGACAATTTGATTTTTTCGAGAATATCTCATCATTTAAAAGTTTTCTCAAACCTACATCGTAGCTCATCTTTTTAAATATTCTGTTTTTACGGGCTGCACACATCTGAAAGTATGATTTAAAAATACCTTAAAAATGAAATTTAATGACCTCGTGTGTCCAACGTTGGGTAAGCAACCATCTTCCCCTTGAAATGTTCCCTTATGACCACGCATTCGTAGTCCCTACCCGGTAGAACCTAAACACGGCAAGGAGTCCCTTTACTATCCACCTGCTTTGGTTTGGGCATCCACCTGGTAGTATCTCAGACTTCACGCAAACCATCAAACAACAATGACTAGAAAACTCTATTCGCCTCCACAGTCTCACAAATTACTTCCTCAACCCAACATTCCATTATCATTATAATTTTATTCTTAAGTGCAATCCGTTTTTCTTTTTGCTTTGACTTTCATTTTTGATACATGTGTAAAAATTGGAAACTGTACTAGTACGTAATTCCATATTAATTTGTTTATTGGTTATATCACACTGTGAAACAGTAATGGATGACTTTTTGAACACACTTCACTATTCATAGCCATATCAATTATAACTAAATAGCTTCGAAACTCGAATTTTGTAGCTATTGTTCTTTTCTCCCATTTGTGATGGAGGTAGAAGGATTTCCCAGATGTCCAGGACAATTATTAAACCATTCCTATTGCACGTACTCTAAGTCAATTCAATAAATGAAGCTTCAGTTATCAATCACTTCCTCCCAACCTATGTGTAACTGTATGTAGTGGTTGGGCATTTTTATCTTATTAGAGTCTATTAGTCCAAATTTCGCCAAACATTCGTGCTATGCTAATCTAATTAACCCTATCCTACTAGTTTGACTTATGAATTTGACTTTATTATGACAGTAAGGTAATAAATATACTAAATAATTTTGTTTAATGAGCTCCACTAGATTCTCCGACCGACATAATTTTTCTCTTGGTAAATTTGTGTCTAGCTAACAGAAATGCACTTCATCCCATACCTCCGTGCCTTGGCATGAATCACTCCTCCGATTTTCTGTTCCAGTCCTAAGGTTAATAAACCGTGAACGAAATAGGAGCCGCCAGTATAACATTCGTACAATATCTGTGGAGACTTTGCCCGTTAGATCATCGCTTCCGCAGAATGCTATCGATGGCAAAAAAAAGTTAAACCTCGTCTAAACACACCGTTAATTGTAAGTAGCAATGTTAGCTAGTTAAATGTCTTATCTTTATGTGAGGTGTTTTTGCACACAGCTTCCAGGATGTTAACCAACTTCTCAGGATGACATCTGTCTGTTACACACTTGAAGATACAGTTTCGAAGAACATTTATGTCCAACATATGGAAGACAGCTCTAATTACAAGAAATACTTCGATTGTCAGCCTGCAATATGAGTGACAATGTTCTATCAACTGACGGAGGGCGAACATGTGATCAATGCATCCACGACCTGAATGAAAGCGAGCGAGCTCTTCGCGGATCCACAGTCTGCGAAGAGAGACAGCACCTAACATTATAGATCCGATTGTGAAGAGACTAATACTTCGACGGTTGTCTCGTTTTAAAGGTAGGCGCGATAAAAACTTCATTTCACATTGATGGAGGCATTCTCATCACTTCCTCATGCTTTCCTGAGTAATCCAGTTAGTTCCGCGACTAGAGTCCCACAGATTTGCAGGCGAATTGGGGAAACCCAGTGGCTTTTAACGGAGGATTCATCTAAGCCACAACAGACTTTACATAGAGGTTATCTAGCCGAATATAGAACAGTTTTGAGATGTTCAAAGTCGACTTTGCCATCAGGAAAAATTGGGTTCCTGTATGCGTTATTAATAAATCTATTCATCCTCAATTAGATTAAGCATCTTAAATTGCTTTGATCTCGCACTGCATTCGGGTGTGCACTTGAGTGCTCTCACATTCGCCCAACATAAAATACTATTAGAAATATTTGCGAATATGCGTGAAATTCACAGGTAAGACATACTGTTACGCTAAGTGTGTTGGCCATCGATTCCATGATTTATGCTACCCAACCGATCGTCATGATTTGGACTTACTTGGTCTGGACTAGACAGATAAACTAAATATCTCCAATGTTTTATCGAATTCAGTAGGTTGTCATGTATCGTCACACACAAACCATATTTGGTCTGGTTCGTATGTCTGATAGTTCTTATTTGCTACGCTCGCGGCAAAAGTATGCTTCTGCTTTCCAGCATAAACATGATTGTCGCTAGTTCCCTCAAGTCTCTTTTTCTTTAAAATCCAAACGTCAAGCCACTTTTTCGTCTAAAACGTCCAGCTCCCTAAGCTACTATCACGCCGGCGGAAAATAAACCTTACAGATCAGAGCAAAGAATGTCCTCCAGCCAGTAACGCATTCTTCGTGCGCTGTTCTCACAGTGATTCCAGAGGTTTTTGCTTTAATTCTAATTCACAAGGCAGCAGAGTAAGAGCCAGGATCTCTGTTCTCATTGTTACAGATGACCAGAACAGGTTCGCAAAACAGCCGTTTCCTTCAGATTCAGGAGCTTGTGTGTTCCATTAGTTCGGAATCAAAACCTTCTAACTCCCTCGGGTAGATCTACATGTCCAGCAGTGTGGTGACAAGCGCCGAACATTCACGTCTACTCTTCCACTTCTGTAAGAACACCCGTCTCCGTGTTTATTCAATGAATAGGACTTACGTGGCAGAGACTATGAACACTTGGCCACACCAGATCATTCCAAGGGAAGGACGAGAATTTACCCATCCTCGGACAAAGCGCATAATTTATTAAATCTCCTTCCTTCCAAATGTTTACCTTAAGATTATGTATTGATTTTGATTACAATTAGGTTATTTATTCTTTTGATAGACACTTCGGAATTATGTTACAAGGCATTATGCTATTCAGGTGAGAATAAGAGACTTACCAATAAAACATTTGCGATCACGAAACAAAGTAAATCTGGCTTCCCTGTCAGCTGACATTGACTTCCAAAATGCCTTCAATGTATGGTATTCACGACTAAGGAAAGAAACAAAAGTAAAACCATTATTTTCAGCAGGATTCATTAAACGACTTTTTTGTTGTTCTAGACCACAATGACACTATATTCAAAAAAACGAGAAAAAAAATTATGATATCCAAAGCAAGAAAGATCTCAGCGAACAACTGCCTCTTCAGACTCTGGAGTTATAAATCGATAAACATTAGCATACAATAGCCAGTAAAAGTAAAATATAATGGAGAGAAGTCGAATACACGCGAAATGTGCAATCAACGCATATATAAGAAAAAAAGGAAGGAAGTGTTTGTGGAACTTTCAACTCCAGTTTCAAGTTGATCAGTTATGATCAGTGGAATGAGAGATGGCGTGAACAGAAAGCATAACATTGCTAAACCAAAAACAATCTATATGCTCCAATTAAAAGATAGCTACAGTTGTCAGTCATGGTCCAGTAATCAAAAGTAATACAAAGTAGACAAGAGTTGGAGACTTAATTTGTTGACTACAGTATCAAAGGTGCAATATATCACTTAGAAAACAACAAATTAACAAACAGAAGTAACAAGAAAAAGTAATAAGAAACCTGAGAAACTGAAATAATAATAAAATATAAGACTAAGAAAAAAAACCTTTCAAAATTCTTTCAACCAGTTATTTTAAGCAGTTATGTAAACTGAATCCGAAAGAGTACACCCCTATAAATGACCCAAATCAGATATTTTATGAATTAATTCCTCAGTCTAGCCAAAATTAGGCTTCTTTCTACTACTGCATCACACGATAAAGCAAAATAATTCTGATGATGGAACGGAATGAGCAGTGCACCGGACTCCAACGCTGACTAATAGCCGTATTCTGCGAAATGTGATAAATGCCAGTAAAATGTTTGAACGTTATAACTCATTAGCTTAAAACCCAATTTTTAATGCAGGGAGAAAAGCATTAGAAAGAAAAACCTTCTAGCTTAAGTTTAGATAGGTACATAGTATAATTGGTCGTTGTATCATGAATGTGTCCTGGTCACCACATTAATCTGCACTTAGCCAATAAGTTCTATGTACACACATATGAAAACAAAGCAAATCAAAATAAACATGAGATGGACTAATCTAAAGAGTTCACAGAAGTCAGCTCAGCCAGCCAGCCAGAGAAAAAAATAATACAATTGTGAATTATTATGAACAATCCAAGATAAAGTATTAAGTTTATTCCCCTACATAAAGATTTTCTATGTAGGCTAACTAACACACATGCAGTATATCACCAGATGAAGTTAACAAGAAGTTGAAAGCCCTCCACAATTTACTCAACAGAGAGTGGAATCGAAGACCCATAAAAGTGAGACGAAGAAAACTAACGCCTATTATCTAGTCGATACAAAGGCTATTCATCCTAAAGCTTACACATAATTCCAAACAATTAATAGTAGCATCATTACTACGAAAGCGTAAACACATTGTTTACTCAAAAAAAAATTTGAAATATCAACTGCCAATGAGCACCTTAATTCTGACAACAATGCGTATGTCCATACTTGAGCAGTTTTCTTTTTAAAAAGAAAAATATGATCAACTCATTCTGAGTAGAATCACGATCACCTTTTCTTTCCACTTAACTATTTTCTTATCACTTCATCAGAGAATAACATGACCAAAGGCTAAAAATGCGTTACTCATCACACACACACATAGATATACACGTACCAGAAGACAAATCGGTATTATTAATCTAGGCTGCTGATAAATGACTAGTTATTATTCAAGAGTTAGTCTTAATAAAGTTATAAATATCACTGCATTCTTTATCAGTGGTTTTACGTAACTTACGGTAGGCAAAACGGAGAAAACAATGAAAGTGGACAGTATCATTCTAGCAGATTACTTCGTTTATCTTTACTCTTTTCATTTGTTCACTCATTTCTACAGTCTAAGATTGTTTTGTAACTTGGGATGTATTTTACTGTACATATATATATATATATATATATATATATATGTATATATATATGAGCATCTGCCAATTCACCGGCTCGTGTGCAGCTAGGTGTGCCGGCCGGACCCAGCTTTTGCGAATTTTATTTTCGATAAACGTATGTTGGAAGTTGAATTGATGCTGAACTTTCTGCTAAATCTTAAATTAACAACGTTGGTTAACCAGTTCACAGAATAGAAAAACAGCTGCTGTGTTTATACCGCTGGCAGTGAATAGAGATGATAGTCATTACAAAGGATTAAAGGAAAGATCTACTATCTAATGGTCTCACATCACTAAAAGAGAAGAATAAAAAAAAATGGATTGTACGCACAATCCCATAAACTATTAATTGATCAGTATAGGTATAATTAGATCTCACTCAAATCAACCAGTAGTGTTTGTTAGCCAGATTACCACAGTGATCTAAACACTGAACGGCCGTTTGAATCGTTCGAGACCGAGCTAATCAGATGTTTGTCTCAGCTCAGACAGCCAAATCAGTTGAGACCACCAGAATTCTGGTTGGCTTCTTGGAAGAACAGGTAGTACACTACATAGCATCAAGTCAAACTGTGAAAATTACAAATAGTGAATTAATTTGCAAACTGCGAATTTGACCCAGTGGATTGTACGCCAATTGAAAAATAACCAATGTACATCAGTGTAATCGATAACAGCCGGAGTTGGCTTACATCTTAAATCCCACATTCCCTGAAATGAATCATATTAACTTCCTTATACCAGTAGCTGAGTTGATCACTTCTTTAAAGTCCCTTGTGTAATGTCGCACAGTTTCAAAATTCCTCTACAGACATGTATTTACAGTATAAGGCGGCAAACATCACAAAACAACAGTTTAAAGTGTTCGTACAGTTGGATAAGAAATTCATCTATGAAAGGAAAGAAAAGTATTAAAGCAACAGTCTACCAGTATAAACAGCAGACACTCAATGAATTAAGCGAAATCAAGTTACCTTTTTTCAGCTCTTAACCTTTCATTTTCTTCTGTAGTATACGTCCATTGATAATAACCGAGTAAATACTTCCAAACTATAGGTCGCAAATCTTTTTCAATACCCTATAAGGTATCAATTTTTTGAAAAAAAAAGCAGAATAGAAAAATAAATAACCATATTTTAGAGTATTTTTGTGAAAGATAACATCTAAAGATTATATATATATATATCAATTGCCACAGATTACTGCCACTTGTCCGAAGACGTTTTTTGATATACGACTTATGTCTATTTACAAATAGCATACATCACGATTTATTATCACTATAAAGTGGAAGAAGTCCACTCGTGTTGTAGATGAATAACCAAAAAAAGAGTACTTGTTTCAATTATTGAACGGAATGAAAAATATCGGGTGTGGAACTCCAACTCCAACATTGGTCAGTCATCAACAGCTACTCTTCTTGATTATCTGATGGGAGACAATAAAAGCAAAGGCTTTACATTCCAGTGAAATCACCTCCCAACTTGAACCAGAAGAATAATGTCCCACTCTCTTAAGGGAAATGCCAAAGTAGGATTTACAAAAGCAGTGAGTGAGGTATATGCATCACAGGTCAGAGATGAAAACTAATGCGAAAACTATAGTCAAGAAAATAGCGGAATATTTCAGATGCTGGATTTTCTAGAAGTGAGCAATTCTAGTTGACCGTCATGTGACTTCAGTTCATTTCTCTCCATACTATGACACACATTGAAACATGAAATTATTTTTATTTTAGAGAGAAAAAAAATTTGTCCCTGAAATGTAACCTGCAAAGTTAGTAGTCCATACTACCAAAGAAAAAGTAAATACTGACGATAATAATGGAATTACTCTATGTGGAAACTTGAAAGGCACTGGTTTCTTTCAAATTGGTTCCACTATACACCTCAATATTAATTGATAGGACCACTGGAGACTTTGAAGGTCTTAACAGTCATTTAAGTTCAATATTGGGACTTCACAGTAGAATGCAACTGTGGTTTCAATAAAGAACGTGCTCATTGTCAACAAGCTACAGGGCAGGCAACCAGTCACCCGTTCATTAAAATGAAAAAGTCAACTGATAAAGTTGTCGGTTCTTCTTTTTTATTTGGTGTGTCTCAGTAGCGTATTTATCACTTCTGCCCTGTGACACAGCAGCAGGAAGCGCGGTCATTGTTAATCCGGGCCCCGACCGATCCGGCATGATATTTTGTGTTTTTGTTTGAGTCATGGCATTGGATTGGGTAGCTGCTTTTTGTCTAACCGCTATTCAAACAACCTTTCTGGCATGGTAGGACCTACAGGGACATAAGTTCCAGCCAGTTTAGCTCGTTGGGTCATTGCGATATGCAAGCCCGACCACCACGTCAAGGTAGCAGCTTTCGGTGATAAAGTTGTAACATTCGTAGGCAAGAAGTAGGCTTAGTAAATACTTGCACACCAATAAAGGATAACTAATCAAGTTTATCTTTAGTAAACTTGTCACTAATAAATATTTATATACAGTTAATTTGTTAGAGTACTGCTGAAGCTAGGTCTAGCGTCAACCGACGGACCACTTCAGTGAGAAACTCAGTTATAACTTATTAGTTTGTGTTTATTTATTTAGTGTATAACCAAAAGGTATTGAAAAATTCAAGATGGTTTTAAGCCAAGAAGAGGGTGCATTAATTATATCCTCGAACTTCGATATATTCAGAAACAAAGATATGCTTACCGCCGTCAAAAACTAGACATATTTCTTGGACTGAAAGTGGAAACTGACTCTGTCAACCGACAGGTGTTATAACAATGCCGCTTGGTGAAGAGAGTGCTGACTTATATCACACTAATCAAGGCACTCTACTCAAACTCCCAAATACGCGGTAATGATTATGAGGAGATACCATCTGAAGTGATGACAACCAATAGAGTTCACTAAAGATGCACAATGTTTTCTTTTTGGTTTAATTTTATGACAAATTTTCCAAATTATATGGAACTAATCGGCTCTAACGATTATGGGATTGACTAGTTATCAGGAAACCATCTCGTCGATTCACAGTATCAACATGATACATATCCTCTACACGAAGACAATGACAAAACACAATCTCTTCTGAACACCTTCAGCGGAAATCCTGGTTTGTTTGCCACCCTGTCGGATGTAAGATGTTCATGCTAAACTAGTCTACACTGACTCCTAGTTTAAACATAAACAGTGAAATGATTGGGCGTATTGGCCACCTCACACGACGCATTAGACGTAATCAATTGAGTTCTGACGAACTCTCAGCACGGAAACAGAAGCTTCATGTGCCATTGGCCAACTTCTGTTATCTCCGACGTAGACGGATATCTACCAAAGGACGTGTGTACTTGCACAGACGTTCGCTGTTTTTCTTTATGGAGTTGAGAAGTGGCCGTGAATATGCGAGGTGTGAAGGACCTAGTTGTATTTGACCGCAGATGTTTGCGTTCTATCTCCCGCATTAAATGATATAACATGATGAGTAATATTAAGGAGAGATTTAGTGTTAGTTAATGAGGGAAAGTCAGTCAACAAGGTTGTTAGCTTACATCGACTGAGATGGTTAAGACTGACTGACTGACTGACTGAGTTACAGCATAGAATTTTGCACAGAAGTGCAGCAGTTCGAGTTACCACATTCTATTTAATACATAAAGATAGACAAAAGATAGAAGAAAATAGATTCAAAGGGATAATAAGCATAAATGTGAGGGAGGAAGAATTGCAACATGGAAAAACATGACGGTTTAGTGGACTGGGGGGATCACAAAGAATGAATGAGTCTGCGCCGTGGAGTCATATCAACGACAGTCTCAAGCCATTGGTTCTTAGCATCTTCAAAACCCCAACCCGGTAATCTACGCCTCCATACGTGGCTCAAACCAACTGTGAAAGACTTCATGGATTGATGTCAGGTTTTGGTCTGACTACCTCAAACTCTTTTCCGACTTAATCCTTTGTCGGTTAACACTGCTCCTCGAGGAAGGTAAGGTGTTGAGGATGATAAGCTATCTCCTTCTTCGCCAACTAACGATAGCTGACATAAGATTAAATCGAAAAAATAGTTACGGGTGGTCGAGTCAAAACGTGGTATCAATCCATAAAGTCTTTGATCGTTGATTTGAGTCACATGGATCTAGACTGTCTCGTTGGGGTCCTCAAGGTGATTTCATTCAAAACCGTTCTCAACAGCACAGATGCAATCAGTCAATGTTATCTTCTAGACCCTCAAAATCCACATTATTCACCGTGAAATTATTCTTTCTCCCGTATATTTTTGTTTATGATATTTTTTTTGAATTCTTTTCCTTTCTCTACCTACATGCTGCATGGAGTGTAGCAACTTGGACTGGTACACTCTTGTGTCAAGTTCTATGGTGGAAATGCAGTCAGTTATTGAGATGAAAATGTTTTATTAGTAATTAAAGGTCATTATTTCAATAAGTGAATGTCACATTTACCTAATAATCTTTCACAAAAACATATTTTACGAATTACCCACTGAATAGCACTCGCAGTCATCGATTGAATAGTAATAATAATGGTAATAATAATAAGGCTGATACCACCAAAAAATGTAAGAATTAATTTTTGCGGAAAAATAAACACTAAATAAATGTCCCGTTAGATAAACCGTCAAAAAAAAACGAAATTAAATAAAATTTATAGTTGTATTGAACAAAAAAACTACTGGTCACATGATATACTTCTAAAAACAAACTAGTGAAAAAATAATGGCGTATATATCAGTAAATAGGCTTCAAGACCTAAAAATCGATATGCCAGAAGGAAACCAATTATGATAAGGAAACGTGAGTCTTTATTAACAATATATTATTACCACGATTACCATTATTGCCGTTATTAATATCATTACAATCATTGTTGTTATTATTACTATTTAAAGAAATACACATCTGTGACCCGGTAGCGAACGTTCTAATATGTAATAACCACTGATTAAAAAAGTTAAATGCAGTTTAAACTCAGTGGTCAATGAAATAAAACCTTGATATACATTTAAGCTGCTTCCCACCGCCTAACCATTACGATTCAACTCAGACCCATGTAGCCTGGTTGAAGGTAATCGTCAAGAAATCGTGAATGTATGCTTTGTGCTGAGTAACACATGTCCACGAGGAGTTTCGCCAATATCATGGCAGATGATATACTCTAAGAGATCTACATTTGTGTCGCTGAAGCAGGTCCTGGAAGAGAAGAGGTGTATTCGGTATTTAAATTAGTTTCTTGATTACGTTCGATGTCAGTGCACCTATAGTTTAGTCCACTTGGTCATATCACGAGACTACAAGTTTAGTGACAATATTCCAAATTTGAAATATAGAAGTTAATATACACATTAAGCACAAGGAACAAGATCCGAATTTTTAGCACTAACATCAAGACATTGCTTCTATATGACTCAGAGAAATGGCGTGCACGTCGCCATAAACATTCATAACTTGGTACTGCAGACTTCTATCAACACGTGCCTTCGTTCGACACCGAAGATTAAATGGCCCAGGAAAAGATAAAAGCAAGCAAGAATCCGACAAGTTAGGCATCCGAGAGAGATAGACAGAAGATCATGTGCAGGGATAACGAAAGCTTGCAAACAGTTGCGGAGCGAGCTGAAGGTGATGGAAGAGAACTGGGTGCAATGAAGATTTGCCGCTGAGGCCGTTCGTACTAGTCAGAACGCAAGCAATAATAATATGACAGTATGTAACAGCCATTAACGTGTTTATTTTCCAGCGACTAATCATTCATTTGTGCAAACTAGATTTCCCATATACAATAAGAACAATTTACTCTTTTTTTTCAAAAATCCTTAATCGGTATATATAAATTCCATAACATATCAATAATTTCTAGTAGAAATAAAAACCTAATGGATGATTAAACAACAAATTTACCACATAACCAGTTCAGTACGATTATAATAGTGATGAGAAGACTTGACAGTGACTAACTGAGTTTCAATGTAGAACTTCACACAGTATTGCAGTAGTTCAAATTGTTACTCCAAAGGCAACGAACCGACAGAAAAGATACATTCTTAAGAACTATAATGAGCAGAAACGTAAGGAAGAAAGAATAGTAATATGGGAAAATATGACGACTTAATAGATCTTGGAGATTAAAAAGAGTGAATGCATCCGCGCCATGGAGAACGAGTCGGAGTCATATCACTGACAGTCTCAAGTAATTGATTCTTAGCATCTCGACGAGCCCAACCAAACAGTCTACACTTCTCGACGTGGCTCAAGCCAACTGTGGAAGACTTTATAGATTAATGCCAGGTTTTGATTTGACCACTGCTAACTCATTTCCAGCATTGCTTTTCGAAGAAGGCGATGACTCCGCCCGCATATGATGATGAACGCACATTCATGCATTGCTCATTTACATAACACAGCTAGGTGTAAACCCTGGTGACTGAAGTAAAATAAAAATTCATGAGCTGGATTTCCTATCCTGTACCAATATATACGCCAATGTGAACTGTGATAAGATCCAAGTTTTGTTTTATCTTCAATCATCACCTCATCACGTTAACATAAATCCACCAAAATTAAAACTACCTCATAACATCTCCGACTACAAATGCAATTAAAACCAGTCGTTGCTTGGACATTTCCCTCAGTTTCCATGTGTGTATGTGATCTATGTGCAGACAGAAATTTGGATTTTCACAAGTTTAAGTAATCCACACTGTCCAGTTTTAAAACAAATAAAGAGACACTTATGGTCTTGGGTTATTGTAAAGAAAATAATGGAGACTGTTTAATAATGAAACATATTTGCATGAAAGTGTTTCTTATTGTATCAGTCAATATCATCACACAATAAACGGTAAATGTCATTCTGACGTAATTTAAAATCTGAAGTTAAAAACGTGTTAAAATTGAAAAAGCAAATTTTGCAACAAGCAACAACAGAACAGATTAATGACAAATGAGTATAAACAGTAACCAATCTAAAAAAGTGCATTAATATCAGTATACACAAGAACTAAAACTATACAGACTAATACTTACACCATTAAAAATGATTTCACGTAAGTTTTCAGGTCGATTCACCCGGCCTTCTGGATCCAAAGACTTTTTCCACTGACTCATATTCAACGGTAAGGAACGGTGAACATTAGGCAGTGGAGGGAGGGAAATTGGGTTTGGTCGCTAGGTAAATAGGCAAAAATACAATCCAGCACTTAAATTTCATTCTAAACTGGCGTAAAAGAAAATCTCTCTTCATCGTACCTTAGAATTCAATGACTATTTAAGTGATGCTAACTTGTGGAAACTATCAAAAGGGTAATGAATATTGTGTTTCTTTCCATAAAAAGACTAAATAAAAATTATATTATCACTACTTGCTACAGATGCTCGTAATGATCACTCACCTAATTTTACGTTTATACATTCTTAGCACCATGGATAATACAGATATTTATGTGTGTACAAGGAATGAAAGGGCTAAGCTATCGAAGAATTCAACTTTCAAATTCTTTTCAAAAAACTATATTTCATGATGGTGTGTACCACTGACTGATTGAGATGTGAGTAGTGGAAGCCAACTCATGTCAAACAGTAGTGCTGGCTATTAGAACTGAAGTGATCTAAACACTAGACAGTTGTTTCGCTTCTTTGAGGCTCGATCTATACAACAGTGCATCCAGTTAGACTCAATTTATATATATATATATATATATATATATATTCTTTAACTGCCAATGATTGAAGTTTAATTAGCTAATCAGGACAAAACTTTGTGGAAAAAGTTGTAGTTTTATTATCTTCTGAGGAGAAAGATTTAAATTTGCATCAGATACGAGAGTACTTTCAAGATTTTCAAGCTTACATAACCGCATAAGTTGTCATCAAATTTGAACTGGTTTCAGCGAATAGAGTAAATGAAAAGAATTAATGGAGCTCAATAAAAATCAAATGATAAATACGTGTCTGTCTAAATTATACACACGTAATTAAACGCTATCTGATATGATACAAACACTGATGGAAATACAAGTATTCTTACTTTTTCCAATTAAAATATACACAATGAATAAGTCACCCATTTTATCTCGATAGGCATTCATTTGAAAAAAACACAGTCAACTGAATGGCTTTAAATAACTAGTGTGCTGGCTTGGATATTGGCTAGTCAGAATTCAGGTAAACCAAAAAAATACTTTTACAATACGTTATCATTACAATTGAAAATCAAAGGATTGTTACATTGCAGTATTACTCCGTTTGATCACTGCGTCAAATAGTATATTGTATTTTTAGGAACGGTCTATCTACTGCTGTCTGTGGCAACTGCTTTTAAGATGCACCTAAATTCAAACATTCATGTATTACACACTTTAGATATATATATATAATCCCTTTTTTCCCAGTGGAACAAAGAGGTTGAAGCTAGAAACTTGAAGTTTCAGTAGCAGTGCTGTTTTTTACGGGATGGGGTTGCTAACCTCACATCCAACCTTCCCTCATTACCGGGTTTAACACCAGCTGGGCGAGGTAAACGAGTGCATCTGCCGGGGACCGAACCCCGGACCACTTGCTTGCTTAGGCAGTGTCCAACCACTGAACCACTGATGCATCGATTATATATATATATATGTATATATATATATATATATATGAAACGAACCTTATGAAATCATTTCACTTGGTATCTTATCTTAGAAGTTCTCAAATTTCAGTTATAGTGGAAATTTACGGGAGAAAAATAAAAGTTTCAGAGGATTTTAACGAATCTGAATTGCACTAGAATTAAAACACCTGTGGTTTCCGAACTATGCCAGAAACACTCTGCGATCAACGTATCTTAGCATTTCGACGATACCAGCCAGGTAGTCAACACTTCTCTACGTAGATCAAATCAACGGTCAAAGACTTCATGGGGTGGTGCCGTATTTTTGTTCGGTCACTCGCTCTTTTCTAACTTCCCCCTACTTAAGTTAGCAATGCTTATCGAGGAAGTCTGTGATTCAGTGTGCTTAACACATTTCACAACTATCTCAAAAGATGGAGCTTCACACCCTCATTAATTGGCTTTCCCTCCTTAACTTATATTATACATCTCATCTAATCATTACTGACCGTATTACACCAACTAACACAACAGTGAACGGAGGCATACACGACCAAACATCGTTAATGTTTACATTTCAACCATTTGCAACGGTTATGTTTCACATCCTTAAACTACAACGGAGCACACAGCTGCACGGTCCTTTGACGGATAGCAGAATATCACGCTTGTGCTAAGGATGATGCAAGTTGGCCAGTGCAAAACGAGTCTATCATATCCATGTTGACAATCGTCCTTCTATTTTCCTTTCGTATATACTGGAATTGTCTAAGAACTATACTATTCTGACAAAATCGACTTCAATGTCCACTGGATATTAGGAACTTTACCTCTACCTACAATAAATTGTCTCACATCAGCTTTGAAGCTTTATGTAAGCCATATGTCGAATTATACTGCCATCATACGCCTCAGGTTTGAAACAGTGTACGCTTAGTAACAATGAATATTCATATCACAATAAGTTTGAGGATATATGGCCGGCGATTTGTAAAATACAGTAGATAAAGATGACGGTAGTTACGTCGAAGTAATTTTTTATGTTCCAGGGGGATACCAGCACAACCAGAAGGAAAACGACCAATAATCCTCTGGAATCTCTTCGTACATGACTTTTCATTCTTTCTACTATATTTAGCTTAACAATGACAGAACAAATTTTTCCTGCAGCACATAATGGTTGAAAATCAATGAACCGAGAATTCAGGAATAACGAGCATTATCGTATCAACATCGGTACCCGGTTTCTATTTGTTATAAACCTTGGATTTTTTAAATATTTTTTATCACTTATTTGTTTATTTAAAACACTAACTTGGTACGATATGGATACCAAGAGATGGACCACACAAAAAAATAGTGAAACAACAATGCTTTATTTTATGAAAAAAGTTAGACTTCCATCTTATAAAATTTCAACTAACCCGCTCAACAACAGCGAAACCCCCTTCATCTGTAGTCCTAAGACCAGTGGATTCAATCGTTCGGAGATCTTCTGCAATACATTTTGTTAAATATTCCTCTGAAGTGCCATCAGGAGCAACATTTTCATCTAAGTTAGGCGATAATATATTTTGCACAAGTGTATTGACATGCAGTCCAATATTTCTCAATGAAGCACCCAATTGGTTAGAAAAAGGTGTTCCAACAACTCCTGAACTGAATTGTCTTTTGTTTTGTACATAACTAGAAAGAAAACGGTCTCAGTATTTACATGGGGTGGATATGGACTGCATTTACTATTCTCATACATCTCCCGCACAGCAAAAAAAAATATCCATAACTATTATTTTAGAATAAATATCAAAGAGAGTTTAGTACTTACAAGCACTGAGCACATAGTTTCTCTGCTCTATAAACTCATTATTTAGAAAGATTATACATTCTCAACTTTCACAGCTTTTAAGTCCTTGAATTTCAGGATGAATCAGTGAATAAAAACAGAATATTCTAACAAGCAATCAATTCGAAATTTGAATAGTAAACAAATGCAAATATCTTATTCCATTTGTAAAAGGTGAGACAAATTGATAAATAATCACAAAGAATAAAATATCTATGTTTAATATTTCCTACACAACCTTCAGAAGATAATAAGAACTTCAAATGACTTGCTTGGTAGTGGCTATCCAAGAAGTCCAGGAAGACACATAAGTCTTGAATTTCACTCCTAGCCAACAGCAAAAATAAGTAATTACTAGTTACTAATCATGATAATATTAAGGCATCTGTTTACGGAATCTATACGCTAAAATTAGGCTGATAACATTGGTGTAGATATAGCAACGAAATATGCATGAACAAGGAGAACTTTATCAGGATAATTCACTTAACTTTATACTTTTAATATTATAACACAAAAATGAATATGGTGAATGAATTGATTTGTTTTAATAATAAACATATCTTAGTTATACTTGAACTTACTGTTGAGGAAGATGATAGTTAGATGGGAAATTTATTTGTGGACGGGGTCTTACACTATATCGATTTTCATAATCATCGCATCTGCATTATGAGATAGAAATAAAAAAATAATAATAATAATGGATGAAACTAGTAGTTGTCAGCTGAATTCTCAATGGTAAAACGTGTAGTGTCAACTGAAAAACCCTTCAAATATATATATATACTAGATGCATACAGATGAAAAGGATCATTTCTATTTAAAGTACATGGTCATACACTGAATGTTTCAGACGCAATAATCATTTTACCGTTACCATATTTTTTGACGGGTCCCGGTCGCTGAATGGTATACGAGCTTGACAACCTCACCTAGATTACTAGCTCACTAGTTTTCTAGCCGGTCTCAAGCCCGGATAAAGAGGGAGGGTTGGGGCGTGGTGCTAGCAACTCCACCCCCAAAACTTAACCAAATTGCTACCGAAACTTCAACGCACAAATGTATTATTGATATAAGTATAAAACTTGGGCACTGTGGTAGAGTATAACTCCATAATGGATAGGATTTTATTTTAATAAATCACACAGTGTTGTACAGTTAAATTAACGCACAAATATATCAAAAATTCTAAATACATAAACAATAACCTTATTTTTCGCTGGAATCGGGGAAGTGAAATGACGCAGGCTGGTGAAAGCCTTCGGGAAGCCAGTCAGACGATGTGCCTCCTTTCGATGAAAGCAAAAATAAGGATGGGGACGTGGAATGTTCGTACAATGTACGAAGCTGGAAAGACTGCCCGGGTAGTCGCAGAAATGAGATACGGAATAGAAGTGTTGGAAATCTGCGAGAGCAGATGGAACGGATGTGGAAGGTGCCAACTATCAACTGGAGAGATGGTAATCTATTCCGGTCACCCAGAAGACAACCACGAGCACACCGAGGGAGGGCACATCATGATGTCACCAGTGGCAGCCAAAGCTCTCATGCAGTGGGAACCAATCTCCTCCAGGATAGTGACAGACAGGTTCAACTCAAAAGGAAGGAAGGTTACAATCATTCAATGCTATGCGCCTACAAACGTTTTTGACATGATTGTGTTCTCTGAGCTGGATGGTTAATTTGTGAAGCTTTCGTCGCCCTACTAGGCGACATCTTCAGCGCATACGTCTATTTGAAGTGAGCTTTCAGATTTCTCCACGAGTTTATTAATCATCTCTCCTGGTGACCTTGGACGTGGTTGGTTGTTTTTGTGTGTTTTCACAGCTCCTAGGTTATTTGTATTGTGATTCATTGTTTCTTTGACTTGAACTTTGACCCTTTGTGTGTGAGGTTTCTTTCTTATCGGTTGATAAATTTTGTCTATCTCGATGTGTCTATTGATTGATGATTCATTGGAATGCCAAGCTTCTAAAAATTCTCTAGCATTCTTGTTGTTTCCTCTGTCTAATACTTGAACGTTGTCCCAGTCGAATTGTTGTCCGTGGTTGTCTGTATGTAGTGATATGAGGGAGTGCATATCATGTCTTTTGACAGCTAGCTTGTGTTCGTGGATACAAAGACGAAGACAACCAATCACGCCTAAGGTCAACAGAAGAGATGATTAATAAACTCGTGGAGAAATCTGAAAGCTCACTTCAAATTGAAGTATGCGCTGAAGATGTCGCCTAGTAGGGCGATGAAAGCTTCGCAAATTGACCATGCAGCTCAGAAAACACAACCATATCAAAATCATCCACCTGAGCGACAAATCTTCTCTATCATGGCTACAAACGTCTCAGAACAAGAGAATGAGGAGGATTTCTACAGACAACTACAAGCAGTAATGGACAACATCCCAAATGGCGATATCGAAATCCTGATGGGTGATATGAATGCGAAACTGGGAGGAGACAATACAGCAAGAGAACTCACCATGGGTCGCGAGGCCCTCGGTGAAATGAACGAAAATGGCGAACTCTTCTCAGACTTCTGCGCCTTCAATTATTTGCTGATTGGTGGCAGTGTGTTCAAACACAAGGATATACACAAGGCGACATGGATTTCACCAGATGGACACACCAAAAAACAGATAGACTTCATTTCAACCTCAAGGAAGTGGAGACGGAGCCTACTGGACACAAGATCGAGGAGAGGAGCAGATGTGGGTTCAGACCACTACCTAGTACAAGGGACTTTCAAGGTGAAGCTAAAAGCCTCGAGAATAGCTGGAGATAGGCCACAATGCAAGTTCAACACTCAAAAACTGAAGGACACAACCACAAAGGACACTTTTACTGCAACTGTCAGAGCAAAGCAGGAAACACTACGTGGCATCACTGAGGAATCATCCGTGGAAGACCATTGGAACTCTCTGAAGGTGATTTTCAACGAAACGTGTTCAACGGATTTAGGAAGAAAGAAGAGACAAGACAAGGAATGGCTCTCAACGGACACTTGGAAGCTAATAGAGGAGAGGAGAATGATGAAAGAGAAAGTGATTCAATGCAAAGATGGACAAGAGAAAGAGACACTGAGCTCAAATTACACAGCACTGGACGAAGAAGTGAAGAAGAGTGCTAGGAAGGACAAAAGACAACTCTACGACAATCTGGCCACTGAAGCTGAGAAAGCAGCAGGCAAAAGGGACCTGAAAACACTATATCAGATAACCAAGTCTCTATCCGGGAAGAGATCAACACAAGTGAAACCTATAAAAGACAGCCAAGGGAACCCAATTACCAAGGAAGAAAGACAGATTAAACAATGGGCGGATCACTTCAAACGACTCTTGAACAGACCACCACCTGCAACCCATCCAGAAATACCAAAAACATCACGTACACAACTGCGAGTTGACACCAATCCTCCAACGGAAGCTGAAGTCTTGAATGCAATCAAGCTTCTGAAAGCTGGACCAGATGGAATATCCCCTGAAGCACTAAAAGCGGACCCACAGACGACAGCAGATATGCTGACTCCATTATTGCAAAAGGTCTGGAAGGAGGGAAAGGTGCCTACTGACTGGAGGAAAGGTTACCTCGTGAAACTACCAAAGAAAGGCGACCTAGAACTATGCAAGAACTGGCGAGGAATCATGCTCCTGTCGACGCCAAGTAAAATTCTGAGTCGCATCATCCTGGAGAGAATAAAGGACGCGCTCGATGCAGAACTCCAACCAGAACAAGCTGGATTCAGGAAAGGCTAATCATGTTCTGACCAAAGCGCAACTCTACGCATCATCATCGAACAAAGCATAGAATGTCAATCAAACCTTTACCTCAACTTTATAAACTTTGACAAGGCCTTCGACAGTGTTGACCGCGAAGTAATTTGGAAACTACTCGAGTACTACGGCGTACCGCAAATATTCATCAACCTTATTCAACAGCTGTACGACAACGGCACAGCGAGGTATTTGGAGTAAACAAAGGAGTCAGACAAGGGTGCTTATTATCACCAATGAGATTCCTAATTGTGGTGGACTGGATTATGCGTCAGACAGTGGGAAACGAGAAGACAGGGATATCTTGGATCGACGTGAAGAACCTGGAAGACCTGGATTTCGCGCGTGGATGATTTATGTTTGATGTCACACAAAATCGAAGACTTACAAGCGAAAACCAACAAACCGGTCGAAGAAGCAGCAAAGACAGGACTCCGTGTGAACATAGACAAGACGGAGGTTATGAAAATAACCAACCAACAACAACATCCAGCGCCAATCACCATCAACGGGAGGGATTTGAAAAAGGTTACTTCATTCACTTATCTAGGGATGATTGTCTCAACTACAGGAGGAACGGACGACGATGTCAAATCGAGAATCGGGTAGTCGAGAAACACATTCATCCACCTGAAACAAATCTGGAAATCTTCGTCACTCAACATCAACAACGAAATTCGGATTTTCAATACAAACGTCAGTTGATTTCTTCTATACGGATCAGAAACTTGGCTGGTCACAAAGAATATTTCCAACAGCCTGTTGCAGACCTTTATCAACAACTGTCTTCGTTCTATACTGAAGATCAGATGGCCGGAAAGAATCACCAACAAGAAACTATGGGAACAAACAAAACAAGAACCAGTCGCTCAACAAATATGCAGGAGAAAGTGGAGATGGATAGGACACTCGCTGAGGGGGCCGCTGGGTGACATCGCGCGTCAGGCCATAGCTCGAGTGGAACCCGAAAGGGAAGTGGCGAGTGGGACGTCCAAGGGTGACATGGAGGAGATCGTGTGAAGAGGAACTGAAACAGTATGGATGAACATGGACGCAGGTGAAAAGTATAGCAGAAGACAGAAGCAAGTGGAGGCGTGCAATTGAAGCCCTATGTTCCACTAGGAACCCAAGGTTACCATAATAATAATAGTTTTTGACGCTAGTTTTTTGTAATTCACTTTTAACTCTTCATTTATTAGGTTACGAGAGACAATTATTATGCGGCTTGGTGATACTACCTAGGTAAACGTAGGTGGGTGGGCGGGTTTCGAACACAGGACCCACTGGTTGAAGGGAGAATACTTATGCCAATGGACTATTTCATCACACAAACTGAAAAGGAATATATAGCAGCAACGAAAGACTCTAGCAAAGATGCTAGTATTTTGACTTTGCTTATAACTTACCAAATACTTTCATTTAGGATTTAATGTAAAAATAACGTCTTTGTTACAATATTTTTATAAAGATTGTCACAGTGCACTGTCAACTAAATTAACGCGAGCTAAGGTGATCATATTTGCTTAGCAATCACTAGATTTGGATTGATTTAAATTTTCTGATTTTCGCCTATTATAAGCGCAACACTTTTCTTTACTGAAAACAAACATAATGCGAGTGGAATTATTTCTGATAATTATGGAAATCAAATAAGTGTACAAAAACAAATCTGATGAACCGCGTAAGAACCATACTCGAAACAGATGTATATTAATTATTTATGAACCAGAGATTTATGTTTCAACTTAGTCAAGGCATTCAACAAAAAAGTGAAGACGTTAAAAATAAAACAAAACAAGAAATCCTAGGAGCTCACTTTCTAACATCAGCCAAACTACTCAGATTTTGCAGAAATGAAGATGAACCACCACTGCGGAATTCAAACGGACCATATGTTGCATTCGATTTTAGAGACAAGTAGACTCCACGACACGGAGAAAATGGAGTTTTCCGGATAATAAGGAAATCCATATCTCTAATATCTATTGCACATCCTTTTGTATCTTCTTGCGATAAAGAAGAGTCTATAAGTCAGATAGTTTATTAACGACTAAGAAGACTTAACTGACCTTGGTCCTGATGGGGAACCCAGTGAATGCTTACTTTTGTTCCCTAACAACAATGGTAATTATATAGGAAACCTATACTAACATCATCTGTTAAAAACAACGTCCCTTTGATCGGAATGCCATCTGCTGGATTCTGGTTGGAAATAAGCATCAAGTAAACATCTTCCCATTTTCTACAATCACTATTTCCAGCTCCGTTCTAAAAATGACAAAATAAGATATAAAATAAGAAATGAATAGTTAGTACTGAAGACAAATTAAGGTATGAGTTCAAATTCTAACCAACTTATGACAAAAAGGCAAAGGTTTGTGACTGACTCAACAAGAGACGTCAGTCAATTAGATTTTTACCACCTGGAGTGTGGCGAATTGAACTGCCGCACATATGTGCAAAGTTCTATGTTGAAAACCGACCGACCGACCTGGTGACTGTATGAAATTTAAGTGTATGTAAATAGATGACACTCAGTACCTTTCTAATATCATGGAAGCATCGAAATGCTGTTAGTATAAAACGTTTTATATGTCAAATGACTCAAAGTAGGTCACATTATAAAGTCTTAAAAAATCTCATCTAATTGAGCTTTGTCTGGGCTTAGAAGGTTTTACGGTCGCTATTCAGGATTTGTAGAGATAGACTGTCATTTCAATAACCAGTCTTTTCTAAACTGTTTATCAGTGACTGAAAAGTAACTTTGAGAAGAATTTAGCAAATCGTAGGGAAATATCTTTCTTCAGTTGCACTAAAGTAAACAGTGCCCTAGGACATAAGCACTTCATAATCAAAAAGTAGTTTGCCGACAAGCACAAAGATGTTTGCTTTGATAAGCCAACATTGATCAATTTCACTAGATTAGTAATTTATAGTGGATAGATTAGGATTGTACAGCTCACATTTTATTTCTCCAAATTATTTATGGAATAAACGTAGAGAGTAGTACAACAATTTTTGTATTCTGGAATCAGAAAATCAACGCTAAGAGTATTCTAATTAGGTATAGATATCTCTATAGTAGATAAGTAGGAACGATATTTTATCACTGATAGCGTGATCAACACTATATGTACCAAAAAGTAATCAGGGCTCAACGCACGCATCGTGGGTAAGGTTTTATGGTTAAAAAGGAAATTAAATCTTCACTGACAACAGAGTTTACTAACGTTGAGATGAAGTTGAAAATTCGTTTTCAATTAAATGTTATTTGCAAGTTCTACACACAATTACCCCAATCACTAAATGTATAAAAGTGAGGAGCATACGTCCTCGACTAGTGCTAGCTAATGAAACATTTCAAGTGAAAGGTCACTACTATATGTACATTATTAAAACCATTCAACCAGATATTTTCGGACAAATACTAGATTAAGTGCCACCGTCAGCTTGTAGAGTATATGTTCAACAAGAAGTCTAAGAGAATGCGTTGATTCATTGATGAGCGATCTTTGAAACTCAACTACATAAATAACAAGTTTTAGTTTCGTGTTTATTACCTATATCTCGAAATTTAAAAAGTAAATCAAGCTGACACATCTACCATTACTAGACAACCATTGTCCCCGTTAAAATAAAAAAAACAATAATAGAAACTAATCAAAACTATGCATGATCTATTCATTTATTGGGTCACTCATAGCAGTTCACCACTTGTGTGCTACTACTCGGTCTTTTAAAATTCCAAACCCAACTGATGCAGTTAGCGAACTCTAGTTTTTCGTTTTGATACTGATTACCCATCCGCTTTTTATTCACATATTAACCACTTTCAATTCTATTCCAGTTAGTCCAAGAGACTTACAACTGTAAAGAAAGATGTAGGCAAGAACGTTAAGCAACCCATAAGCGATTCTATAGGGAACTCTTCCACACACGAGCAGTAGAATGAATTACATTTTGTCTAGAAAATGGATTTTGTATAGGGGTGTGACAAAATTCATGGAGTTATATTTTTTGAACAGTTTATTCGCATATAGGTGCATTTTACGGGATGTAATCTCTGGATTAGAGGATCGTATGGCACGTTATAGTCTAGAAGCATAGATTACTTAGGTCCGTATTTAGTGAACTACGAGGACTGACATAAAAAATGCTGAGGTAACAGTTTGAAACCTAGATACTTGAAAATTGGGAAGTTGAAAAGAAAATAAGGCTCCCATATAGCGCAAGCACTTGATTAGTGAACCAGATTTGAATAAACGAATAGCTAATACAATCATAATATTCATTTCTCATAAAGTGAAAGTACCTATACCGGTAAACAACAGTTTTACAGACGCCACTGACATGGCTAAGCTTTGAAATTTCATATTGCGGTTTTCATAAACATCCAAGTAATCCTACAGAGATATCCAAGCACCAAAGTTTACCTTAAAACCGCTTGATGGCATAACTTTCATATAATCTAACATACTAAACGGCAAAGTTAAACTATTATAACCGAAACTGCAGTGGCCTTGAACGACCAATTAGAATTCAGATGCAAGAAAGTCGCATAATCGTTGAAAAATCTACTAAAAAACATAGCAAGCATGATATTACACTATTTCGTTGTCACTTATGTGTTATGAGAATGCCTCCCAGTCACTACAAAGATGATCTATAAAGAAATTATACCATGCGTGATAGATACATTCATCCAAGAGATGGTAGGTCATGCATTGATACCTCTAACACTGCTCTTCAGCCTACTACTAACCCTAGACCCTAAACCTTAATCTAAAAAGCAATAACCCTGCCTAACAATGTGGAAAAGTACAGGGAGAATGAATGGAATACTGTAACAACCTTCTCCAAGTCCAAAAAGCCAGACATGATTTGATTTGGAATGGCATTTCATAGCATTCCCTGTATCTAGTTGGTCTTTGAAGGTTAACTTTTGAAGGAACCTTGCCTTTGGCCATGACACTGACTACGCCCTAACCACAAAAGGTAGCTCACCGGAAAACAAACACTCGAGTGCGTTCCCACTTCTTTTCACTGAGAAATTTCTGTCCCTGAAACTCTTTACTGACAGGCGTAACTACAGCACCGTCCGTGGACAGATTTAAGCGAAGGCTGGACAATCATACGGCCTGTTTCCCTAAAATCTCGTACACTATTAGTGGGTATACATCTAAACTCATCGTCTTACCTCTTTACGTTCTCTCCTGTCTTACTCCTGACTACTCTGACTATTACGTCCCTTACACTTATTATGTAATAATAGTGTAAGGGACGAAATATGCATATATATATATCAACACCAAATTTCATTAATCATAAGCGTGAATACAGCTTCTAAGTACCTGTAGCCTGTGTTGATTTATTTCATTTGAAATGAATGCGAAATGTAAACTAACAGCTAAGAGATCACTATAATGAGGAGCACAAGCAATATATTCAACGAAATTCCGATTACAGTCAGAATACTCAATGACCCTGAAGAATGAAGCTAGGATTCAAAGTGAGGTCATCATCCAATATTTCTTTGGGACCAGCTGTACAAACTGGAGGATTACTCATTAGATATTTTAATAGAATTTAACCTAGATGTTTAGGGTAGAGCTCAAGCTAACACATATTCCTGGAACCTCACCACATATATTTGACTTTTGATATATGATGTCATTAGAAATGGCAAAAGGAATCGATATACGAATGACTTCAGTTGAAAAATAGCATAAAACCTCACCATATGTTAAAACAATTTCAAACAAGCCACTCTCCTTGAGCACCTGATTTTGATGATGAACTTAAAAAATTAAAACAAATACACCATGAATTTCTGATGAAGTGACAAGAAAACATTTAAAGCCAACTGCCTTCAGCGTAAGAGTTCAAACTTTGGACGCTTAAAAATAAGGCCTTTTAGCATCTTCTGCATCCACATATAAGTATAGAACTTACGTTTATAATGGAATTTCGAACTTTAATCGATTCGATGCATACGACTTCTAGAGATGTAAGACACAAATTTCAACAGAAACCAAACCTGATGCGACACGCTAGGCCACTGAAATCATGCAGTCTTTTCTGCTGTAATTCGTCTAAGAGTTTAATCAGTGTTTTTTACAAGCAATAGACAGGAGTCATTTGTTTCTGCCCATCTCAGAACACAAGTATTATGTAGTGTTCACTGTTTGTTTATAGTGATGACTACTGGTTGTTTTAAAGCTAAATGCAGACTGCAGAAGCTAAGTGATCAAGTGAAAAGTCATGTAAAGTTCTGATGAATAGATGTTGCTTTAAATCACCAAAACCTCAAGTAAGTGATTTAATTCTGCACATCTGCCTGAGAAGAAATGGACTTTTAAATGGACTATTCCTCCAATCAAGCAAGTCTACTAGGCAACTGAGAAGCATACAAGTGTGCAACAAGTTGGAATGCACAAATCGCACCCCACCAAGGTACTGCTTACAATCATTATTTTCAATAACTAATACCTAGCGCACGTATACAGTGTAATTCCGACAAAAATTATGTGCTCATCATTTCGGGGAGAACGCTTTTTATTCTCACCCATTGAAAATTGTTATCTACGGAAGATTGGGCAAAATAAATCCGTTAGCTCAAGGTGTTTGTTAGCTTGCTCTTATCGATAACGTCTCATCGACCCACAAAAGGGAGAGTTGTGCAAATGGCGCTACAGACTGTTAAAATCACTACGCAATTTACTTACTACACCATAGAGATTAAAACCAGAGGAAGATCCCGGACAAGTATTTGATAAAATCATGCTGTTAAACAGGCCACAGAACCAAGTTGACTGCTCTGATTACAGAAAAATTGCAGTTGGGCGTAACTGTACATCTCTGAGGACAGAGCATGTAGACGATCACAACCACAGGTTTAGCCTGCTAAATGCAACCTTTCTTAGCTGTCAGTCAACTGACTTCACGCACCAGGCAGGTAACCAGCATCCAAGTAAGAAGGGACAAGTTGGCCGTCCATAAAAGACACCAGAATCAATAGGAAAAGAAATGAAAATTCCGTGCAACTGCGTAGCCAGATAAAGCGATGCGACAGAGGCTGGTGTGTTGAAGACATAATATAAATTGACCAAGGTGCTGGGCCAAGAATGATATCAGCGGGAGTCAGTGATCTTCAAAGTATCCACCTCTGAAAAATACTTCAACCTATAGTGGATCAGTAAGCCAAACACTATAGGTTAAAAACACATCTCTAGCAATTCGATATCGATCGACTCGAATGTCAAAAACATACATATCAGCATCAATGAGACCAAGACTAAAAGAGCCAAGTGAACTACCTTCCCAGTTACCTAGTTGATCCCGAGCACGGATAAAAAGGGAGAATGTGGGTGTGGGGCTAGCCAACCTACACCACAAAATCAACCAAACTGCTACAGAAACTTCGATGCACAAGAAATATTAAAAATACAAAAACTTCAAATAACAACAATCTTATTCTTTGCTCGAATCGGAGAGGCGAAATGACACAGCCGGTTGGTGAAAGCCAGTCTTCAGCAGGCCAGTCAACCAGCCGATATGTCTCCTGTCGATGAATACAAGAATAACAATGGGGACGTGAAATGTCCGTACAATGTACGAGGCTGGCTGGGAAGGCGGCCCAGGTAGCCAAAGAAATACGAAGATATGGCATAGAAGTACTGGGTATCTGCGAGAGCAGGTGGATTGGATGTGGAATGTTAAAATGGTCAACTGGTGAGTCAGTAATCTACTCCGGTCTGGTCTTTCACACGACAACCACGAGAAAACTGAGGCAGTGAGTAGCTATCATGATGTCACCAGTGGCAGCCAAAGCCCTAATGCAGGGAGCACCAGCCTCCTCCTAAAGGATTATGACAGCAAGATTCAACTCAAAAGGAAGGAAGGAAGGTCACAATTATCCAATGCTACATACAGTGCTACAAACAACGCGGAACAAGAGGAGGAAGGTCTTCACAGACAACTACAAACAATAATGGACAACGTCCCGAATGGCGACATCAAAATCCCTACGGGCGATATGAATGTAAGACAAACTAGGAGCAGACAATACAGGGAGAGAACTCATCATGGGTCGGGAGGCTCACGCTTAGCGAGATGAATGAGAACGGAGAACTCTTCTCAGACTTCCGCGCTTTCAATGATTTGGTGATCGAAGACAGTGTTTACAAGCACAAGGATATACACAAAGCGACATGGATTTCGCCTGACAGACACACCACAAACCAGATAGATTTTATCTCAATGTTGCTCGAGGAAGTGGAAACGCAGCCTGCTGGACACAAAGTCAACAGGTGGAGCAGATGTCGGCTCAGACCACCACCAAATTCAAGGAACCTTCAAGATGAAGCTGAAATCCTCCAGAACAACTGGAGACAGGCCACAACTCAAGTTCAACACTCAGAAACTGAAGGAAAAATAATTCAAAAAACACCTTTACTGCAACCACCACAGCAAAGTTGGAGACATCACATGGCACCACTGGGGAAACATGTATGGAAAAACATTGAAACTCTCTGGAAGTGATGTCCAATGAGACGTGTAAAAGCGTTTTAGGAAGAAAGAAGTGGCAAGACAAGGAATGGCTCCCAGCGGATGCCTACCTGGAAGCTAATAGAAGGGAGGAGAGGAGGATGGTGGAAGAGAAGATGACTCAATGCAAAGATGGACAAAAGAAGAGGAAGTAAAGTCCAATGTACACTGCACTGAGTAAGAAAGTGAAGAAGAGTGCTAGGAAAGAGAACAGACGATTCTACTACACACTGATCGACAACCGAAACAGAGCAAGCAGGTCGCAGGTAAAAGAATCCTCAGAACATCAATTCAGATAACCAGGTCTCTATCCGGGAAGAGATAGACCCAGATGGTGAAACCAATAAAAGATGCTCTAGGGAACCTGATTACCTAGGAGGAGAAACAAATAAAACAACGGACTGATCACTTCACGGGACTCATGAATCGATCATCACCTACAACTCACACAGAAATACACCACCGCCAACAGCACACCCAGAACTGCCTACCAGTGGACACCGATCCTCCAACGAAAGCAGGAATCCTGAATGTGATCAAGCTACTGAATTCCGGGAAGGCAGCAGGGCCATATGGTATACCGCCATACCCCCACCTACCGAAGCACTGAAACCAGACCCACAGACTGTGGCAAATCTGCTCACGCCATTATTGCAAACGGTTTAGAAGGAAGGAAAGGTGCCTACCGATTGGAAGAAGGGCTGGCTACCTTGTCAAGCTACCACAGAAGGGCAACGCAGGCATCTGCAAGAACTGGCAAGGATTAATGCTCTTGTACACGCTAAGTAAAATACTAAGTGGCATCATTCTGGAGAGAATAAAAGATGCACTGGCTCCGGAACTCCGTCAACCGGAACAAGCTGGATTCAGGAAAGGCGAATCATGTGCTGATCGAATTGCAACTCTACGCATCATCATCGACTTCGAAAAGGCCTTCGACAGACAGTGTTGACCAAGAAGTAGTTTGAGAACTACTTCAACACTACGGCGTGCAGTGTCCAAGTCTTAATCAACCTCATTCAACACCTGGCTATATAACAATGCCACGTGTTAGTCAGGTGATCCACAACGGAAAACTCGGTGAGGCATTTTAAGTGAAGACGGGAGTAAGACAAAGCCGGTTGCCTATTTTCACCGATGTTATTCCTAATTGTGGTGGACTGCATTATGCGTCAGACTGTGCGTTGGTACTGAGAAGACAGGAATACGCTGGACCACCGATAAGAAGACTCTAGAGGATTTGGATTACGCAGATGACTTGTGTTTACTGTCACACAAACTCGAAGACTCACAGGCGAAAAGCAACAAACTGGCAGAAGAAGCAGATGGAGAAGACAGGACTCTCGGTGAACGTAGAGAAGACAGGGGTGATGAAGATAACCAACCAACAGCGACAACAACAACAACCAGCACCAATCACCATCAGTGGGAGAGATTTGACAGAGGTTGCCTCCTTCACTTATCTAGGCAGCCAGAATCGTTTCAACCACAGACAGGTGGTGACACGGATGAAGATGTCATAGCCAGCCAGCCAACCAGAATCGGAGAGGCAGGATACGCCTTCATCAACCTGAAATCAGTTTGGAAATCTTCTGCACTGCACTCCGCCTCATCACAAACAATAAGATTTGGATTTTCAACACAAATGTGAAGTCAGTCAGTCAGTTCTTCTATATGGTTCAGAAACTTGGCCGGTGTGTCACGAAAAGGATTCTCAGCAGATTGCGGACTTTTATCAACAGCCGCCTCCGTTGGCTCTATACTGATGTCCAGATTGCCAGAATTATCCTTCTGCTTCCGCGTGAGTCACCTTTCAATATTTTTTTCATTAGCGCATTCCTAACAATATCCTCATATCCATCCTTAACAAGTATTGTATTCGGTCACCTGTAACTATACATGGCATTCACTTGTGGATCCCACAACTTAGAATCTCCTGATACCCCTTCTAACCACGTGGGACTAAGGAATTTATGTCTAGGAAAGTCTGACTTTTTATTTTGAAATACATAGCTGTTTATCGTTGCTTTTGGTGCTTAGATAAAAAAACAATCTTTTTATATCATCAAGACATTTTTCGGGAAATTGTCAAAATTCTTGTTTCGGTAATGGTTAATTATATCAAACGTGAAAGTACCGTTAAGAGACCGAAACCCAATACTCGTCAACCGTCTGATAGCCTCAGTTCCATTGGCGATTCCACACTTTTGACACCAGACACACACAGAGCATGT